GGGGAGGGGATGGGAGGCGGCGGGGTGGTAGGCCACAGGTCAGCCGGTCTGCCATCTCACAAGCTCAGAACCTCAGGTCCCCACCGAACGTCCTACGCTGTGCTGGGGCCGCGGAGGGGTGGATTCAAAAGGTGAGAGTTGCAGCCTTGCAGCCGGAAAGATCGGGAAGGCCTGGCCCTGTGGCACCGGTGCAGAAAGAGACAGAAGGGCAAGAAATAGCATCTTCAGGGGCGCCTGGGTAGCTCAGTAGTTAGGTGGCTGCCTTCAGCTCAGGTCATGATCCCAGGGTCCTGGGATCGAGCCCCGCATAGGGGTCCTTGCTCAGCAGGAAGCCTGCTTCTCCCTCACCCACACCCCCTGCTTGTGTTCCCTCTCTCGCTGTATCTCTCTCTGTCAATTAAATGGATAAAATCTAAAAAAAAAGAATAGCATCTTCGAAGCAGTGTTGCCCAAACCGCCCTCACTCACAAACCACCTTCAGGGTTTCTGCACATCCTAATACTGCCTGTATTATTATTTATTTAATATTTTCTTCAGACGATTCACTTTTTTCCTTTAGTTCAGCCTCATCCTAAGCAATCACCTTTGGTGAATGTCACTGTTTAATGAGCTGCTGTTATGTGTGTTTCTAATATACATTAAAAGAAGAACATAGGGGCGCCTGGGTGGCTCAGTCTTTAAGCATCTGCCTTCGGCTCAGGTCATGATCCCAGGGTCCTAGGATCGAGCCCCACATCAGGCTCCCTGCTCCGGGGGAAGCCTACTTCTCCCTCTCCCACTCCCCCTGCTTGTGTTCTCTCTCTCGCTGTCTCTCTCTCTCTGTCAAATAAATAAATAAAATCTTTAAAAAGAAAATAAGGAAATAACCATTGAAATGAAATGTTTATCCACGTGCCTGTAACAATGTTCTCAGGTAAACCACCAGGCAGCCCCACAACACACTTTGGGAAACCCTACTGCTATGGACTGAATGTTTGTGTCCTCCCACCCCCCACCCCAAATCCATATGTTGAAATCCTACACTCTAATGTGATGGTATGAGGAGGTGAGGGCTTTGGGAGATAGTTAGGAATTGTGGGTGGAGCCCTTATGAATGGGATTAGTGCCCTTATAAAGAGACACAAGAGCTGGCTGAGTCTCTGCCCTCCACTACGTGAGGGCACAGTGAGAAGGCTGCTGTCTGTGGACCGGGAATCAGGCCTTCACTAGGTATGGAATCTTCTGGTACCTTGATCTTGGACTTCCCAGCCTCTACAACTGTAAGAAAAATAGGTTTGTTGCTTAAACCACCCAGTCTATGGTATTTTTGTTGTAACCGCCTGAAGATGCTTGCACAGATGAAGAAGTCACCTACCTTAAGACACAGAAGAAGATACCAGGAAAAGGCAGGAAGGAGAAAAAAATAGCTAGGACTCAGCATTTGTAGAAAAAGAGTTTCCAAACTGTGTCACGTGGTGGGGGGGACTCCTCACCTGTGTACACACTCCCCAGATGAAGCCGTGAAGTCGAATGCTCAAGATGCCTTCTGTCCTTCTGTCCCCAGGGCCCCAGGAGATGCAAGGCCCAGACCCTGCAAACTCATACTGTTTGACAGGTGGCTGGGCCTGGAGAAATCTGCCCAAATCTATCCCAATCACCTGAACACCCATCGGAGCCCACCCCCTATCACTGTAGTCCACGGGATAAGCTCTCACCGTGGAGAGACAGTGCTCATTGTTATGCTCCCTGGCCATTAACACGGTACATTTATGGCCCACAAAGGCTATGATACCTACCCATGCCCCAAGGATTGAACATTTGGGTTTGCTAATTTTCTGAAGGCAGCTTCGGGATAGTAGAAAGAGTGAAGTTATGGAGTCAAGTCTCTCCTGCATTTCTTCCCAGACATTGACCAGATGTGCAGTCTTGGGTCAGTTACGTAAATCCTGTAAATCCTGTGACTCCCAACTTCCATGTCTTCAAAATGCAGGTAATGATCCATATTTATAACAATTTTTTTGGGGGGGGAGGCTGGACAAAAAGCCTAGTGTATATAAAAACATAATACTTAACACATAATTTGAAATCACACAGTAAATATATTTTTAATATGAATTATGCAGCCACTAGAAACGATAAAATCATAGTAAAGAAGACTGTAAAAGCAATTATCAGAAACCCTTAAGATGATCGAAAGATATTCCAAATATTCCAATATTCCAATCTTAATATATTCCTGTGTGTGCGTTTATGTGTATTCACTCCAATTTCACGTGAGAAAAACAGTGCCTATTTATAGACAAAAACAAAACCATAGTAAAGTAAAACCTTTTGTGCCTTAGAGCTGAGAGGCAGTCTGGCCTAGAAGTGAAATCCTGAGTCCACTACACTGGGCTTTAATCCCAGGTAGGCCCCCTCCCGAATGTTATCTTAGCTAAATTACGTAGTCTCTCTAAACCTTGGGTTCCGCTTCAGAAAAACAGGGATATTAATCATAGTATCCACCTCACAAGTCGGCTTAGCTGGTCTTAGTAAATTCTGGTATTGAGTAAATTTGCAAGAAACAGTACTGATATTAAGGTCTTAGGATGATGGGTGATACTTCTACCTTTTAAGAAGGATCTTTGTTTTCACTATTGAAAATGTAAGTAGCCAAATTACAACTATATTCACTGTGTTTCTATTGTTCAACCCCAAAGCTGTAGTGTGGGAAAGAGCTAGAAGAGCAAAGGCACCGCCACCACTAGGCTGTCCGATCAATCTAAGCCACACCTGGGCAGCTTGTGACCACACCAGAGGGACAAAGGTTCCCTTCCCACCTGGCACAGTCGAATAGGACATAATGATCCAAGTGCTTTTTTGTCACACGGAACAAATGCATCTGAAATATCCCTGGGCTGTATGTCTACCCCTGCCACTTCCAATTTTACTTCACAGCTACAATGGAAAAATTTAAACCCTCTTCAATTTAAGTTGCTTTTATTTGTATTCAGACTAAGATAGAGTGTGGGTGCCAGGGGATAACTTGACCATTAAAAAAAATTCCATTTGACTACATATATTTTTTATCAATTTGGGAAAGCTATCAAAGCAGGCATTTTCACTTAAATGCTTGGAAATAAAGCTGATATTATCTGGCTGGGGGAAGGCTGGGGAAATCACTATATCAAAAAAAAAAAAAGACCCTTTTGTGTATCCAATTTCACATTGCTGTTGTCATGTACAGGATGTATATTCAAATGTGTTTGCATATTTCTAAACTGATCATACATCAGAATTAGAGCCATATTGTTCCTTTTACAGTGAAACTGTTTATATAGGAAATATTGTACCAAACAGTCCCTGCCTCCACCCTGGGTTGTGACTGATTGCGGAGTGAGATAAAAGCACTTATGTCCACAAACAGGAGAAAAGCCTATATGCATGCAAGAAATCAAAAGAAGGTGTGATTTTAACACAAACACTATTATCAACCAAGAAAAAAAAAGATTACTGGAGTTTATGCAAATTCAGAGAAAGCAAAAAGCATATACTTACACACTGACAGACTGAAAATTAGGGGTTGGGTTAGATAACAGAATTCAGTTTGGTACAGTTCAAAACAGCTCCTGGATGGCTTTTTATTTCCATGTGACCCACAGAATTAGAGTCATTTACAAGGGATAGATATGGCCCACCAAGGGGAATCCACTTCCTACTACCCCATGGGAAACAGTGATAGAAAGCCGGCCCCTTGATTCTTTAAGAGTCTCATGCTCTACCGACTGAGCTAGCCGGGCAGTTCCCTTGATTCTTTAGTGTATTCGCCGGAAGAGCTGAGCTGGTTTCAGTAAGTTCAGTTGAATTTTCCCTCCCCCACACTCAGCCACTTTTCCTTCTTCTTGCTCAAAACCTTGCTCCAACTACAAAGTGAAGATGGAAGCTGGCAATTATCTTATAAATCCAGGTTATGTTGTTTGGTCAACAGAATTGTAGATTTGATGGAGCTTAAAGGTATTTTAGAGATTATCCCATCCTGCAGTTTTCAGACTTCAAATATTTTGTCAGTGAAATCATATGTAGAACCCCAACAGATAAATTAGATGTTAACGGTATTCCACCATAAATTTATTTTAAAAGCAGGCAAGAAAAAGTCCTGATTTTAACATTTAACCTTTTATACAATCGACAAATCAGAATGGTAAGACTGATTTGATAAATATAAAATATTGATATTTGGACTTATGAATGACAACAGTCTTACAACTGCCTCAGCATCTAGTTTGTTGCTTTTGAAACCATCATTTCTCACAAAAATAAGCAGTGTAAAAAAGTAACAGTTTTATATTTTAAACAGATAAACAGAAAACTTGATTTAGAAAATGTCAAATGTTGGGGTGCCTGGGTGGCTCAGGTCTCAATTTCAAGGTCATGAGTTCAAGCCCCATGTTGGGCTCCATGCTGGGTATGGAACCTACATAAAAAAAATAAAAATAAAAATAAATTTTAAAATATAAATACATTTCAAATGTCAGAAGACACTGTATTCCAAGGCCTTCACAAAAACAAGGTAACCTGGCCACATAAATAAAAGGATTGATAGGCTGTAGGATGTAGAATTTGGGGGATTATGATTTTTGTTATTATAATTCTTAAAATTGAATAGAAATCTACTTTAAAATAAAATTCAAATTAAATGGCTACAAAACTCTTGACTATGGTTTGAAAACCTCTGATCTAGTTCAACATCCATATTCTAGAAGCAGGGAGACCAAGACCCGGAATTGAAACGACTGGCCCAGGGACACAGCGTAAAGCAGGTGGCAAACTCCTTAGGTGCCCCCTCTTCTTGCTCCTCCCATTTCTACTTCTCGGTAGATTGTTCCTAGATAGAGCTCTAGTATGTTTTATTATCTCCCATTTTTAAAACCAATAAAATAAAGAAACAAAAAGCCTCAATGACCCAACACCCCAACATCTTCATCATATTATTACCTGCCTTCCTACCCCCACTTTTTAAGTCTCTTGAAGAATATCCTCGAGTGCCATCTCCTCTTCAGTCAGTTCCAATGTGACCACCCCTCCTCCCCCCCCAACCAATTCCCAGTCTACTTTCCCTTTGCTAAACTTTATTGTCTGTCACCTCCATTAGATTGCTAACTTTATTATGACAGAAATTTTTGCATGTTTTGTTCATTGACGCATCCTGATTACCTACTCACAGTAGGCGCTTAATAAATATCTTTTGAATAAATTAGTAGGTCATGTTATGGTCCCTATCATTTGTGACTAAAGCTGCTTATCAAAAATCTCTAAGAGCAGAGTTATATTTTCAAATAACACTTGATAAAGGACTGAAAGGGAAGGGATATGCCTAGTCAAAAGCAATTGCCCAGTAAGAATCATTACAAACATAATCATTTAATGGCTCTAGAAACACTTGTGTTGTTATAAGAGACCGAGTTTTAACCCAACTGTGGCACTCAAAGGCTTTCTCAGTCTTGGGTTTTATTGGTATAGATGACAAATGCTTCCATTTTCCACAAGTCCTGCAATTTGGAGCTTATATATGCCCTTTTAATTTTACCTGTCAACCTGGCAGTTCATTTTCAAGCTCATCTCTTCCTTGTCAAATGCAGCCAACAGAACCAAGACACACTAGTAATATTCTGTTTCCCAAACTCCCATACTTCCAAGTAATTGCAGATGACATCCAATCAGTAGCTTATGATGATAAAGTTTTATTTCCCACTCATGCTGCATGCCCGCTGTAGGACAGCTACAGCTCCATCCCATGAGCCTTTTTTATTCTCGGACCCAGGTTCAGGGATCTGCCCCTTTTCGGGACATTGCATTCTCATGGCAGAGGGCAAGAAAGCAATGGTCCCTAAAGCTTCTGCTCAGACATAGAATGCGACACTTCTGCTCACATTTCATTGGCCAAAGTGATTCACCTGGCAAAGCCTGATGCCGATAGTTGGAATGCATTCTTGCCATGGAGAGGGAGGTCCTGTAGAGGAAGAAATCCCGTAAAGATGAGAGCAGTGAAGGGGGTAATAACTATTTGAGGAAAGAAAAAGTAATAATACTGTCCTCCTCAGTGACAGTTTGAATATTGAGAATGAGAGAAAGACCAGAGTCTAGATAGACTCCCATGTTCTAGTCTGGGGAGCAGAGCAGGGGAGGATGGTACCATTCCTCCTGTTCAGAAGTACAGATGGAGGAGCAAGTGGTGAAGACAAAGACTATGGGTTACATTCTGAACATGTTGCAATATTGCTGGCTGTGCCATTCATGAATAGAAATGCTGGTTAGTGTAGCTATACTACACTAACTTGGATTTGAAAGATAACTGTGCCAAGATAAAGTTCTAGAGTCATCCGCATACAGATTGTGGATGGAGGCACATGAGTGAATGAGGTCTCCCAGGGAGTGTGAAGGAAGAAAGAGGTGAAGACTGAGGAAAGTACATTCTTGGAACTCGCAATTCAGTTGTCAGCCGTGGAGTGAGAGCCTACAAAAGAGACTGAGAAGAAGAAGGAAAGATCCAAGAGAGGCCCATGGAAATCAAGGGAAGAGAGATTTCAGGAACTTGTAAACTAGGCACCAGTCACCGTTTCAAGTCCTGCACACATATTATCTCAATTAACATCCACCACACTATAGAAGTAGACTCTATTTTGTGGATAAAGAAACTGAGATAAAGAGAAGCTGGATGATCTGCCCATGGTCACACATAAGTGAAGGAGTGCTGTGGAACCAAAGTGCATAGCTCCAGAAATCACTCTCCACTTCAAAGGTTATGGAAGGAAGAAAAAGGGTGTGAGCTTGATTGTCAAAAGCTGTTGAGTGCATGGAAGGTGAGGAAATGGAGTAGGAAGGAAACAATTCCTTTTGGCTGAGCTGACAAGAGAAACCTCATGGTATGGGTACTAAAGGATGAACATCATTTGGACATTCTTTCCTTCCTTCCTTGTCTCCCCTCACCCTTCCTTGTCAAAGCTGTAATTCAGAATTGTGATCTTCTAAGAACTCCATCTAAAGGGCAGCCACGTGGGAATTTTTTCAACCCGAGTAGGTTGTCACTTCCCTGCAATGACCATCCCACCTTTGGATCTTGTGGCAAAGATGACTGGCTGGTCACCAGGGCTTCCTCTTCTTCTTGCAAACACAACTACATTTCCCAGCATGCTTTGCAGCAGATATGGTCATGCGACTGGGTTCAAACAATTGTATGTGGGAAGTAATGCTGTGTTCCAGGCTTGGCCCAGAAAAGAATAGATAAGGTGTCAGTGAGAACACACTGGTGTAATGGAAGGGTCACCAGATTCAGAGTCAGATCACCTTATTCCAGTTGCATGACCTCAGGCATGTCCCTTAATTTCTTTGTTCCTTCATTTATAAAATAGGGATAAAAATACCTACTTTGCAGACAATTTTGTTTATTCAACCAACATTGATAAGGCAGTTGAGAGGTTGCCCTGCCACATGAAAGGAGCACGTATGTATATGGGGAGGTGCTCTCTAAGCAGAAAGCACTCAACAGTTGTTGATGACTAAGTTCCCATATCTCTCTAACTAGGTTCCTGCCAGTGTGTGTCTGTGCTCAAAACCAGTAAGACAAAATGAGAATGTGCAATATCATCATATCCAAAGGATTATAATCCATCTTGGAGACTGCAGGAAAGGGTTTTATAGAACTGGCCCCCGGGTCCCCCTGGACATTCTGCTCTTTCCTCAAATTAGAAACACAGGTTTCATTCCCTGCTTCCTCTGTGAGAGCCAGCATCACCAGCACTCAGCCTCTTGCTCTTTTATGACTCTACCCATCCCCAGGTACATCTGATAGGCAAGAGACAGAATTGCAGCCAGTGGTGAGCAGGGAGCAGAGTCTGTCAGTCCGAGGCTCCATGCCAATTCACCTTTGGGGTCAGGGTTTCATTCGGCATGGCAGCTCCTTCGACATCGGGCAGGCACATCTCATTTCCAATTCTTGCTAGATTTTAAGGCCATGTAGAAATCTGGAACCAAGGAACTTTACTCTCTCATGACCACCTGCCCATCCGTGCCACCACACTCATTGTCCAAGAAGGCTGCCTCAGATTTGGGATCACTGAATGTCAGGACAGGACAGGAGAGAGAGGTTGGTAGGCTATTCTCTGATTCATCTTTTTTTTTTCTTCCAGAAAACATTTCAGATTCTGAAAGAGTTCTGCAGCTAAATAACTACAGAAAGGTTTGTAAGACACTGAAGCAAGTTTCACGAGGCAAGTGACTTACTCTCCAATCTTCAATGTCCTCAACTATAAAGTGTGGGATATAGTATGTGTTTTTTTCTGCCACACAGGATTGTTTTCAAGCACCAATGAAATCATTTCCACAGATGGTGGAGGTATCATCGTTAGTATCTTTATCACTATCTTACCGAAGACCAGCACCAAGACCTATGGCTTGAAATCATGTCATCAACAGGACATCTTCTGGGTCAACCATCCTGTATGTAAGACTACATTATTTCATGTTTGAAAGATGCAGGATCTCTCTGGAATTAAGGACTTCAATAATAGTAAAGTCTCAGGAATCGAGACATTGCAAATTCAGAATAAATCATGGAGGGAGTGCCTTTGCACCAATTACAAAATAAGGCCTGAGTGTGTAAACAAGGATTCAAGGGGAGTATTGACCCTCCTCTTGAGTTAATCTTCAAAGCATTTTGCTCAGAACTTTAAGAAATGTTTTCAAAGCAACGTCTTCCTATAAATAAGTAATACAGCAATTCGGAAATATTTTTACTGCTTTGTTATGGCAAGTCCCACAAGGGCCTACTCATGAAGATTCTGTTCACTGAGATTTCTTAATTAAAAATGTATTTGCTGAAAATATTCTATAATTTATACTTTATAGCAAGAATAAAAATTACCTTTTATTGAGGGCCCATTGGGGCACACATCATCTCATTTAACCCTTAGGACAACATGACAACTCCCAGATATATTGTAGAAGCTATTCTTTTCTTTGTACCAGCAGGAAAGTCTGGTTTGGGGAGTTTAAGTAACTCATCCAGTGTCCTAAAGCTAGAAAATGATAAAGCAGGGATACAAACCAAGGATTATGTGATTCTAAAGCCCTTTCTCCTAGTCATTTTTCTATTTTGTCTCTTAATTCAGATGACCTCTCATCCAGTTAGGCCAACTTAGTAGGGACTTTGCTGCAATGAAATGTGCTAAAAGGGTCAGCCTTCACATCATCAGTTGGCATGTTTCTAGAAAGCAGTAGCCACACTTGATCAGATCCTTATTAAGTCCATTTGGCCCAGCAGGGTGTCATCATCCGTGGATGCCACAGGAGGTTTGACACTCATGATCATGACTTCCAAGTTTCCCTCATGGTCAGGATACTGATAAGTGTGAGAAATGACCTGTGTAAGGTCACAAAATCACCTAGCAACTGGGAAATGGGCATAGCAAGTTAACTCAGGGCCTATCAGGCTCATCTACCATCTTCTCCTTGACCTTCTGCCCACACTGCTCCCTGCAGTAGCCCTGGCATTTAAAGGGAAGGTAAAGGACAAGAAACATTAGTCTTTCTCAATCCCTCCCAAGAAAGAAAAGAGACCCAGCTGGAAAGAGCAGTGCAGTTGGTTCACGGTAATGCAGGCTGTAGAGGGAGCTGGCCCCAACATAAGGAATGTGCAACTCTATCCGCTGCTGATTTTCTCCCCAAAGAGAGACCCTGTGGAACGTAAACTTCAACCAAGAATTGGATTTTTCTTACAATGTCAACAATTACTTTGTTATTAAAGAAAAAATCTGGGAGGGAGATAGCAGATGGGCACATCTGACAAGAGGCAGGGAGGAGGGAGCAGTGTTCCAGGTAGTGGAGAAATTGTTCAAGGACAATTTGTGTGTGAAAATATAACCCCTATAAATCTGCCAGAGCCAACAGGACTGAAGACGAGTCACTTACAGAAATGTGTCGTCTCTCCCCAGCAAAGCTGACCACGGGCTTAATTTAGGTTCACGCCCTGTTTGTACTGGGTTTCAGATATTTTTTTAAGTGAGGCATGGGCAACAAAGAAGTAAATTGATATCGGTCCCCCCGCCTTGTCCCGTTAATAGCATCTTTTGCCTCCTGGTATTTTTAGAGCTTTGATTCAAAATATTAAAGTCTATGCCATAATCCAGATCAGCGAGCATATCATTGCCTTGGCAATAGAATACTGGCCTAAGAGCAAGAGAGCCAATTTTTTGTTCCCAATGCCATCATCAACTTTCTTGTTCTTGTCGACATGACTAAAAAGGATGGAAGAGCTGATCCATTATTTAGCCAGTTGAGAATTGCCTAAGCAGCTTATTCAACCCATTAGGATATAAGTCACATTAAGGCAGAGATTCTTTTTTTTTTCCTTGTTCGTGCCATATCCCCAGTGCCTGAACCATGACTAGTTCATAGCAAGAGGTCAGTCATTATTTGTCACATTAATAAATGAATCATCTATCCATTTATCCATCCTTGAAGACTAACGCAAAATATGTATGGGTTTTCTTTCCATGGAATTGCAAATGATACTCATTATCTCACTCAACTTTCTCCTTGAGACACGAGTTAACATATTTCCATATTACTTTAACTGCTGTTCCACAATTTTGGAATAGGAGCTCCCCTCTGGGACTGTCTTGCACCAAAGAATACTTCCACTTAATTTTGATACCCACCCCTACCAACTCTTTAATAGCGGCCTACTTTCTTAATCACATATTCAGCAGCTTGGGTAATATAGGTTACAGACAATTAAACAAAGAGTTGTGCTCAGAATTATTGCTCTCTGGATTATCAGATTACAGTTTTATTCCATCATACTTTCTTAAAATGAATGATCTATCAGTTTATTATGGGAGATTTTAGAAGAGAGATTTCTGATCTGCCCTTGGCTAAGTCACTTCCATCTCCTCATATGGAGAGAAACACTTGGACCAAATCAGAGTTTCCAAGATGGCAATACTCAGAGTGGATGGAAACCATGGACCCTTTCTATTTGACCTACATGGAAGTTTTTGTTTCTCTCTGTCTCTCTGTGTGTGTGTGTGTGTGTGTGTGGCGGAGGTGAGGGTGGAGGAGTGGGACAAGAGGTAGGGGAGTTTAGTTGCTTAGTTGCCAAGAGATAAAGACATCTTCACATAACAACCCAAAAAATCCAAATTCCCGTCTTCTTTTTGGAATTCAGATCTGGCAACACTGTGTCTAAAGTCTCACATAGGAACAGTTAGGAGCTGTTCCCTTTCTAGTTTGATCTCTCTGGTTCTCCCAGTGCCCTCCGACCCACATCACTCCTTAATGCTGACCCCCTGAATTAGGTGATCTCTGAAATTCCTTCCATACTGAACATTCTATTATTATGGAATTGTATGCAATACTGTCAATTGGATTGGGTCTCTAATAAGCATTTGATGAGAGTCTACAATGGGTAAAACTCTGTGTTGTCACTATATATGACTTACTTACTTTTTAAGATCCTGGGGACACTTGATGCTCTGAGTCTGTTTCCTCATCATTAATGAAGGAAATGGCTGCTAAACAAGAAAATATGAGGCCCAGATATCCAACCTGCTGGCCTCACTTTGAATATAAAGCTAAAGGATTAGAATGCTACCTCATTGCTGCTTCTCAAATATGCCCAGATATTAACTTTGAATGACTATAAACTGTAATAATTTGCTCATTGACTTTCTTCCAGTCATAGTATATCGTATATGTTGTAAGCCAGTACATTTTTCCTGTGGAACTCAATAAACTATTTTTATTTTGAATGGAAAATAAAAACAGAGGGAGGCAGGGAGGAGGGAGCAGTGTTCCAGGTTTGGTTTTTTTTTTTTTTTCTGAATAATCCCTTCCAGTTCTCAAATTCTGTGATTCTGTGTTTTGGGTTTTTGTTTTTTTTTTTTAATGCCCTTTCTTCACCCAGAACAAAATAAGCTCCAAAACTGGAGATATTCTACAAATATCATATTGGTAGAAAGGAATAAAATTGAAATGGCCTAAATATGCCCTACATGTGTTTCAATACAATTACCTTCTGGCTTCACAGGAGCCCTGTAAAGTAGATATCATCATCCTACTTTTACTGAGAGGCCAGTAAGAGCTGGAACTCAGTGTGGTCTGATTAGAAATCCCAAGCTTTTCCCACCATTTATCATGGCCCCCTGGAAAGGTCTGTCACCCTAACTGTAGACAATTACATGATCTTACTTTATTTTTATTTTTTTCAATTACATGATTTTTGATGGAAAGAAGCACCGATGAGTTGGCTATCCCTCCATTACTGACTATTAATAAATAGATACATTCTTCTCAATGAGGAATTTACTTTAGAAAATTAGAAATTAGTAGAAAATTGTAAATCTCTCCATAATTTTATCAATAATTACTTTTCATTGTTGAGTTTTATTTTTTTAAACGTTTTTACAAGTTTTGTTTCCTCTGTATTTATTTCTTGGCTACCTTCTATTCACTGCAAATGACACTGATTTTTCTTTTGGTCATAAAAAGTTTTAAAAGTGAGTTACTATAAATTAATAGTAACCAGGAGGGGAAATACAGGTGGCAAATTGAGAAACCAAAGATCAGAAAGAAAACATGCCAATGTCTGAAGTTGGAGAAAGACTAGTCTGAAGGAGGAAGTGTGTGATCAGGGTTCTTGGGAAGGACTTACTCTAGTTACAAGTTAATGAAAATCCCTCCCCAGGGAGCAGCCATCTTATTGGCTGGATGTGGAAAAAGACCAGAAATAATGAAGGGTCAACAAGGAGAGATATTAATCAAAGAAGAGATCTCTTTTTGTCTTTGTAGTGTTTCTCATTTCCTCCTCCATACACCTCTGTCCTGTCTCTTAACTCCACCCCACCCAGGGCCTATTATTTTTCTATTAGGAAGTGCATGCATCTTTAAATCCCACTTAATTGGTCACTGACAAATCTGACTCCTCTCTTGAACACTGAAGTCACTCAGCTCAAGTAAAAATTTTCTTGTCTCCTCAGTAGAGCAAATGGAAATTATCTGCATAAAAATAATAAAATTGATGAATAAAAATTCCTTCTGTAAGAAAGAACATTAATAAGAACACAAAGTAGAAAATGCCAAGTGTTTAGAAAGCCTTCAGCTTCATTTTATTTAAATGTTCCATTGTTTGTAAAAAATTCTTTTTTTTTTTTTTTAAAGATTTTATTTATTTATTTGACAGAGAGAAACATAGCTAGAGCAGGAACACAAGCAGGGGGAGTGGAAGAGGGAGAAGCAGGCTTCCCGCACAGCAGGGAGCCCGATGTGGGACTCGATCCCAGGACCCTGGGATCATGACCTGAGCCGAAGGCAGACACTTAACAACTGAGCCACCCAGGCGCCCTGTTTGTAAAAAATTCTTAATAGCTTGCAAATCCAATTTTTCCACTACCAACTTTATCCTTGGCCACTTGGCAAGCACTGGCTTTTTTTTTTTTTTTTTTTTTCTTTTCTGCCTCTGTTACCCCAGTGCAGAATTTGGAGATTTAGATATGTGAATCCTGAATTATGAAACATTGCAATAAAAATATCATCTCTGTGCTGGGAATAGCACTAAGAAACATCAGGACCAAGACTGTTACAAATTACTGGGAGCAGACTATCCCTCCACCCTACTATACAACAGAGATTCAGAACACACAGAGAATAGAGACACAAATTCTCTAGGGGTAGTTGATCTGTAGTGAAACCCTTTTATAATTTAGTGCACACAATTGCATCTAACTTTTATACTAACCACGTATTACTCATTGCATAATTAT